AGACAGGGAAGCTTGGAGAAGACAATGATGCCGGGGAAAATGGAAGGAAAAAGAAAGAGGGGCCGACCAAGGGCAAGATGGATGGATGGTATCCTCTGAAGGAGCTGGGGGTGGTGATGGCTGACAGGAAGCTCTGGCATGGGCTGGTCTAAGAGGTCACAAAGAGTAGGAAGCGAATGAACGAATAAACAACAACAACAAGGTACTAAGAGATAGATGGGATGAGATGATGCATCTTTGTCATCCTTTCTCAATCTGTGATCTTATTTATTATATTTTGGTATCATGAAATGGCACTTGGTTGCGTGGCAGCCCCTCTATTCTTATTTTACTATTTTACAGATGCCAGTTTATAGTGAATATCATGTAAATCCCTTGCTGTAACTATGCAATTGCCAAACTACGATAATCAGAAATATGCCTTCTCTTACTTTTTATCCTTTCAACCCTGGATTACAAATCTTGAAAGAATCTCAAAAAACTTTTACAACTACAGTCTAATTGATAAGTGAGTGATTGTTCCTGTCAAATTCAAGATGTCTATCATAGCTTTTGGTACTTTAAAAATCTGAATGGTTGAGTTCTAAAATGGTGGTATCAATAACCTGATTCCAAATCTGGAAGGACCACAATAGTCACTTTTTTCTTTGCATTTTTCTTTAACCTGCAATGTGTTAAATGTGGATCTTGCTTGAGTTTTTTTTTCTCTTTGGGGCAAGGTGCTAATGGAGCCCCCTTTCTGCTGTTATCCCAGAAGATTCCTTTCCGATACGTGAGAGTTTCAGTTCAGAGAATCTGTTCACTCTGTCAGTCAGAACCTTAGTTAGTCCCACTCATATCTTCATTTGGTGCAGAAAAACGTACTTTGGATTTGATTCCTCCAGCCTAGGCAAGACTAAACTTCAACTTCAAAAATGCAGTTGATTTGGTACAGTTCTATTCCTGGGAACATCATCAATTGGAGTCACCAAAGCAAGACATCTCACTTCCCACCAAGAATCCACCTGCACAAAATAGTAGGTGACTATTATATATTTCCATGTCTCATGTCTAGCATTTTGTAGAGAGTTGATCCATGGAGACAATGTACATTTGTGGATTCAGTCCCTTTTCCTTTTCAACCTCACCTGCTTCCCTTTAAATAAGAAAACACATAGGAAGACACAATACTTGGTGATCTTAAAAGCATTTTTACCATTTTAAATAGCTAGAGTGTTCCTGTACTTATACTTATGGTGGCAGCGGAAGTTTTAATTAGTGAGACATCCCCTCAAACATTCTATTGGTGCCAAAGTGGTGTAAATTCTTTATATTGGAGGGACAGTTGGTGGGATCTGTTTGCCCCCTGTCCAGTTATATTGTTTGGCCACACGACGTGCCTTTATAATTGGTGGCAGCGGTGGGATCTGTTTGACCCCCCTGCCCAGACAGCCGTAAAGGAGTCGTTATAGTGCTCATCTCCATTTCTAAGTCTAAGAGCTGTCAGCAGGCAACTTCAAGGGCATGTGACAGGCATGACTGCATGGAGCACGGTTACCTTCCCACCAGAGTGGTAACCTATTGATCTACTCACATTTGCATATTTTCGAACTGCTAGGCTGGCAGAAGCTGGGGCTAACAGTGGGAGCTCACCCTGCTCCCTGTATTCAAACTGCTAACCTTTTGGTCAGCAAGTTCAGAAGCTCAGTGGTTAAACCCACTGTGCCACCAGGAGGCTTACACAAGCATTAGGTATAGGCATATATTATGCTACATTGAGACCCTACTCATGAAAGGGAGGCAGACAAAAAGGTATTTTTAATGAAGTAGGTGTATGTAGACCTGGGAAAGTGTAGCATAACACAAGCATTAGGCATGCATTGTGCTACACTTTCCCAGGTCTATGTAAACCTGTTGGCTGTCAACACCCCCAGCTTCTTCAAGGTCAAGCCAGCCACTTCAAGGATACCATCCATCCATCTTGCCCTTGGTCAGCTCCTCTTCCTTTTTCCTTCCATTTTCCCCAGCATCAATGTCTTCTCTAAGCTTTCCTTTCTTCTCATGATGTAGCCAAATTACTTCATCTTGGCCTCTACTATTCTTCCCTCCAATGAGCAGTCAGGCTTTATTTCCTGAAGTATGGACTGGTTGGATCTTCTCGCAGTCCAAGGCACTCTCGGCACTTTCCTCCAGCACCACAGTTCAAAGGCATCTATCTTCCTTCGCTCAGCCTTCCCTAAGGTCCAGCTCTCACATCTGTATGTTACTACGGGGAATACCATTGCTCTGACTATGTGGATCTTCGTTGCCAGTGTGATGTCTCTACTCTTCACTATTTTATCAAGATTGGTCATTGCTGTCCCCCCAAGAAGTAAGCGTCTCCTGATTTCCTGGGTGCATCTGCAGTAATCTTTGCACCTAGGCATAAGAAGTCTGTCACTGCCTCCACGTTTTCTCCCTCTATTTCCCAGTTGTCAATCATTCTTGTTGCCATAATCTTGGGGTTTTTTTAATGTTTAACTGCAACCCAGCTTTTGCACTTTCTTCTTTCACCTTGTTTAGAAGGCATTTACACTCTGTCTGCAGTGTAAATGCACCTCAGCTCCTCCTCGCTTTTGGCCATCAAAGTGGTATCATCTGCATATCTGAGGTTGTTAATGTTTCTTCCATCAATTTTTACCCCGGCCTTGCATTAATCAAGCCCCACACATCGCATGATGTGTTCTGCATACAAGTTGAATAGGTTGAGTGAGAATATACAACCTTGCAGTATGCCTTTCCCAACATGTTGTTGTTGTTGTTGTTCATTCGTTCAGTCGTCTCCGACTCTTCGTGACCTCATGGACCAGCCCACGCCAGAGCTCCCTGTCGGCCGTTACCACCCCCAGCTCCCTCAAGGTCAGTCCAGTCACTTCAAGGATGCCATCCATCCAACTTGCCCTTGGTCGGCCCCTCTTCCTTTTGCCTTCCACTTTCCCCAGCATAATTGTCTTCTCTAGGCTTTCCTGTCTCCTCATGATGTGGCCAAAGTACTTCAACTTTGTCTCTAGTATCTTTCCCTCCAGTGAGCAGTCGGGCTTTATTTCCTGGAGGATGGACTGGTTGGATCTTCTCGCAGTCCAAGACACTCTCAGAACTTTCCTCCAACACCTACAGTTCAAAAGCATCGATCTTCCTTCGCTCAGCCTTCCCTAAGGTCCAGCTCTCACATCCGTAGGTGACTACAGGGAATACCATGGCTTTGACTAGGCGGATCTTTGTTGTTAGTCTGATGTCTCTACTCTTCACTATTTTATCGAGACTGGACATTGCTCTCCTCCCAAGAAGTAAGCGTCTTCTGATTTCCTGGCTACAGTCTGCATCTGCAGTAATCTTTGCCCCTAGAAATACAAAGTCTGTCACGGCCTCCACGGTTTCTCCTTCTATTTTCCAGTTGTCAATCATTCTTGTTGCCATAATCTTGGTTTTTTGACGTTTAGCTGCAACCCGGCTTTTGCGCTTTCTTCTTTCACCTTGATTAGAAGGCTCCTCAGCTCCTCCTCGCTTTCGGCCATCAGGGTGGTGTCATCTGCATATCTGAGGTTGTTAATGTTTCTTCCAGCAATTTTCACCCCAGCTTGCATTCATCCAGCCCCGCACATCGCATGATGTGTTCTGCATACAAGTTAAAAAGGTTGGGTGAGGATGCATCTTGCCGTACGCCTTTCCCAATCTTGAGCCAGTCTGTTGTTCCGTGGTCAGTTCTGACTGTTGCGACTTGGTCCTTGTACAGATTCCTCAGGAGAGAGACAAGGGGGCTTGGGATGCCCATCCCACCAAGAACTTGCCACAATTTATTATGATCCACACAGTCAAAGGCTTTAGAATAGTCAATGAAGCAGAAAGTAGATGTTTTTCTGAAACTCCCTGCCTTTCTCCATTATCCAGCGGATATTGGCAATTTGGTCTCTCGTTCCTCTGCCTTTTCTAAACCCAGCTTGAACATCTGGCAACTCTCGCTCCATGTATTGCTGGAGTCTTCCTTGCAGGATCTTGAGCATTACCATACTGGCATGAGAAATAAGGGCCACTGTACGGAAGTTTGAGCAGTCTTTCGCATTTCCCTTTTTTGGTATGGGGATATAAGTTGATTTTTTCCAGTCTGATGGCCATTCTTGTGTTTTCCATATTTGCTGGCATATGGCATGCATCACCTTGACAGCATCATCTTTTAAGATTTTAAACCGTTCAGCTGGGATCCCGTCGTCTCCTGCTGCCTTGTTGTTAGCAATGCTTCTTAAGGCCCATTCAACCTCACTCCTCAGGATGTCTGGTTCTAATTCATTCACTACACCGTCAAAACTATCCTCAATATTATTATCCTTCCTATACAGATCTTCTGTATAGTCTCGCCACCTTCTCTTGATCTCTTCAGCTTCTGTTAGGTCCCTGCCATCTTTGTTTCTTATCATGCCAATTTTTGCCTGAAATTTACCTCCAATGTTTCTAATTTTCTGGAAGAGGTCTCTGGTCCTTCCTATTCTGTTGTCTTCTTCCACTTCCATGCATTGCTTATTTAAAAATAGTTCCTTATCTCTTCTGGCTAACCTCTGGAATTGCGCATTTAATTGGGCATATCTCCCCTTATCACTGTTTCCTTTTGCTTTCCTCCTTTCTTGGGCTACTTCCAGTGTCTCAGCAGACAACCATTTTGCCTTCTTGGTTTTCTTTTTCTTTGGGACGTACTTTGTTGCCGCCTCCTGAACAATGTTACATGATGATAAAAATATATTACCTCCACCTCCTCTTCTGCATAGCCCAAGATGACCAATGTTTTTCTAATAGAGGCGGAGGCTGCTGCCCTCTAGCGTCCCCCGTGATGAATTGCAGGCTGTCCCGGCCTTAACCCCGCCCCTGCCCGCCTTGGATTGGCTCCTCCCCCTTAAGGCGCGCTGTCAGTCACGCGCTCCTGGGCCCTTCCTGGTGGCGGCTGCGGGGAGCGCGCAGGTGAGGAGGAGGAGGAGGAGGTGGAGGAGGAGGAGGAAGAGGCGGGGCGGTTTGCAGCCTGCGAGGAGAGGGAAGCAAATGGGGAAGCGGCTGCTGGGGTTTGCAGGAAGGGGAAGGAAGGCTGGCCGGGACCGGGAAGCCTCCCTTGTTTCTCTCCCAGGTTCCTGGACCTGCCTCCAGGAGGATGAAGGAAGGCACTCGGAGGGTCTGCTGGAGGAGGTCAGGAGGAGCAGCGCGGGCTGGCACCCACACGGGGGAATTAGTGCAGTTCGACACCGCTTTGGGTGTTATGACTCAACGCCACGGGATCCGGGGAGCTGTAGCTGGGAGCACCCTTTGGCAGAGGAGGCTGAAGCCAGGCACTCCCAGGAATAGCAGGGCGCCCTTATTGTGTCCTTTTTGCACCTTTCTCTGTCCAAGAGTGCCCCTTGCAAACTACCACTCCCATGATTCCATAGCACTGAGCCATATCAGTTAAAGAGGCACCAAACTGAAATAATTCTACAATGTGGATCTATCCTGAGAATGGGCACTCTGACTTCTGGCACTCACAGTCCTTTTCCTTACATGCATCTGCACTGTAGAATTAATGCAGTCTGGTTCCACTTTGGGACCAGACTGCATTACCACAGTCTGGTGGAGCCCCTGGTGGCGCAGGGGGTTAAACTGCTGAGCTGCTGAACTTGCTGTCCAAAAGGTCGCAGGTTCGAATCCGGGGAACAGGGTGAGCTCCTGCAGTTAGCTCCAGCTTCTGCCAACCTAGCAGTTCGAAAACATGCAAATGTGAGTACAGTATTCCCTCACTTATTGTGGGTGTTATTTTCCAGGACCACCCACGAAAAGTGAAAATCTGCAAAGTAGGGACGCTATATACGTACATTGCATTTCAAGGGTGAGGCAGAAGCAAGGAGAGATTTAAAGGCACCACACACCTTTTTTTTTTTTGCTAGCTATCTCTGCTTTGGAGCCCCCAGTGGCGCAGTGGGTTAAAGTGCTGAGCTGTTGAGCTTGTTGACCGAAAGGTCGCAGCTTCGAATCCGGGGAGCGGCGTGAGCTTCCGCTGTCAGCCCCAGCTTCTGCCAACCTAGCAGTTCAAAAACATGCAAACGTGAGTAGATCAATAGGTACCACTCCGGCGGGAAGGTAACGGCGCTCCATGCAGTCATGCTGGCCACATGACCTTGGAGGTGTCTACGGACAACGGCGGCTCTTTGGCTTAGAAATGGAGATGAGCACCAACCCCCAGAGTCGGACACGACTGGACTTAATGTCAGGGGAAAACCTTTACCTTTACCTCTCTCAGCTTTGCTTTGCAATCTCTCTTGATTGGCTGCCTCTCTCTCGAGGGAGAGGGTGAACTCCCCTTTCAACTCCCTCGTTGCCTGGAGGCGGAATTAGAACACCGCTCTGGGCAACGGCAACCATTCATAAACTGGGAGGCAAAAAACACGCGAAACAGTGAGTCCACGAAGTAGTGGGGGAACACTGTAGATCAATAGGTACCGCTCCGGCGGGAAGGTAATGGTGCTCCATGCAGTTATGCCAGCCACATGACATTGGAGATGTCTACAGACAATGCTGGCTCTTTGGCTTAGAAATTGAGATGAGTACCAACCTCAGAGTTGTACATGACTGGACTTAATGTCAGAGGAAAAGCTTTACCTTTACTACCACTTTGATTACCAGGATTCGATGCTGTGGAGTCCTGGGAGCGTTGATATCCTTGTTGTACCAACTTGGTTCAAGCTACATAGCTGTTTACTTCAGTGATGTCCAGCCTTTGGTCCTCTGGGTGTTTTGGACTTCAGCTCCCATAATTCCTTATCATGGGAGAAGTTGGCCAGGGCTTCTGGGAATCGGAGTCCCAAACCCCTGGTTGACCAAAGGCTGGGCACCAGGGCTGTAGGATTTCCCTCTTTGTTAAGTAAGGATTTCCTCCAAAACAAACACACACAGACCTTCTACTTCATCACACTAGAGAAGGAATCCACTTTAAATCTGGTTTTAGTTTCTTGGAGAATTCTGGGATTTGTAGTTTGTTGCGGCTGTAGTTTAGGTAGGCTGTTTAGTGAGGCTAGAGTGCATCTACACTGTAGAATTAACTGATGCTATTTTGACTGCCATGGCTCAATGCTATGAAATTCTTGGGGTTGTGGTTTTACAAGGTTGTAGTTTCTCTGCCAAAGACTGCTAGTCCATCACCAAACAACAACTCCCATGATTCCACAGCATTGAGCCATGTTGGTTACAGTTATGTCAGTCTGTCTGTGGGTGGATCTACACCAGGCTTGGACAAATTTGGGCCTTCCATGTGTTTTGGACTTCAACTCCCAGAATTCCTAACAGCCTCAGGCCCTTTCCTTTTCCCCCTCATCCACTTAAGCTTTCTAGGAGTTGTGGGCCCAAACACCTGGGGACCCACAGGTTGAGAACCACTGGCCTAGACAAAGAAGAGCTTCCCAAATACATAGTTGAAGGCACCCTCTAATGCAGTGGTTTTCAGTCTTTGGTCCTCTAGGTTTCTGCAACTTCACCTGCCAAAATTCCCAAAAGCTGGCAAACAGGCTGGGATTTCTGGGAGTTGAAGTCCAAAACACTTGGAGGACCAAAGGTTGACAACCACTGCTCTAATACCTGTAGAAGGCCTGGTTTCTGTGGTCTATGACAACTTATCCTTATCTGCAAGATTTCCTTTGGATGATAGCAATCCACGCTCTCTGAATATTCCTCCTGTCGTTGTGTGATCTCTTGATATAATAAAGGAGAGTGAAATCTAAAAGTAATGTTTTGCAATTTTATAAATGAAATTGTACCTGTAGGTCCTGTCTGCAGATTTAGAGATGTGTTTGGGTTGGCAACCTTTTGCTTGAAGACCTTGTTCCACCAGACTGCTTGTATCTCCTTTCTTGCACAGATACAAAACCAGTCTGTAGACAAATTTAGAGCTTTTAAAAAGTTATTTTTGGGACTATAACATCCACAACCCCATTATCGGGATGGCTGTGTGGCTTTTAAAACTGCTTCTTAAACTGTGGGTCCTGAAAAATTTAGCAACAGTAAAAGTTTTCCAAATGTCATCCCAGTGGTTCCCAGCCTTTGGTCCTCCAGGTGTTTTGGACTTCAACTCCCAGAAATCCCAGTTAGTTTACCAGCTGTTAGTAATCGTGGGAGCAGAAGTCCAAAACACCTGGAAGACCAAAGGTTGGAAACCACTGTTAGACATTTGCATGCATCTCTTGTATTATGTTTCAGTGAACTCTGCAGAAGATGCTTCAGTTGTACTTCATAAAAAGGAAAATCAGCCTGTTTAGCAATCCTTGCAAATGCTGATTTTTTATAAGTAAAATGTTTGATTTATAAGTAAATCTATTTTATATAACTTTATGTCTGGGATCACGTGAAAATTCTCAGCTGAAATGTTGTGAGAATATAATACTAATATCTTTATTTATATTCCACCCTATCTCCCCGGGAGGGACTCAGGGTGGATTAGGGACTCAGGGTGGATGAGAAGCCATAGTCTTCTAAGTCATACCTGTTGTCCAGAGAGTAAATTAACCCAACCGGCAATAGCTGTTCATAATTTCAGGTGGGATTTTTAGATCCCTGCCTGGAGATGCCATTGATTGTACTTTCTACCTTCTGCATGCAGAGTATGTTAATACTACTGAACGACTACTCTGGCTATGCAAATCATGGCAAATAAACCTTGTATGTACTGAAGCTGAATATGTTGGAAGTCCCCACTCCCCCCAAAAGACGAGGTGAGGAAAGTGGAGGGGAAAATGCTTGTGAATGGTACATGTATCATTGGGACTGAAACAATTGCTTCTCAAATGGGGAGATTGTGGACTGTTCCAGACAGACTCTATATCACAGGATCAGATTCCAGGTTTTTTGTTTATACCGGATTATCTGGCAGTTTGGACTCATATAATCCAGTTTAAAGCAGAAAACCTGGGATCAGATCCTGGAATATAGGGCCTATCTGGAAGGGCCCTTTGGTATGAGTAAAGTTTGCTCCCACATTGCCCCATTGTTTTTCCCTCTAATTGGGGAAATCATCTAGGCCAGTTGCCAAAGTCCCTCCAAGTGTGCTAGACTGCCAATTCCCGTCATTCTACCTTAGTGTGGCCATCCACATCCAGGAATGAATGAATGGGCTTCTGCCCTGCATTCCAGATGGCTTCATGCCTGATGTCAAGATCCTTAGGGTACATTTTCTGTAGGATTCATGTCGTTTGACACCACTTTAACTGCAGTGACTCAGTGCTGTGGAAACATGGGAGTTGTAGTTTGGTGTGTCCCCAGAACTATTTGGCAGGGAAGGCTAAAGACCTTGTAAAACTTCAACTCCCATGATTCCATGGCATTAAGCTATGACAGTAAAAGTGATGTCAAACTGGTGCACCATTAATTTTACCATCTTTGATCACCCTCCCCCCTCCCTCCCCCTCCCTCCCCCTCCCTCCCTCCCTCCCTCTCTCTCCCTCTCCCCCTCTCTCCCCCTCTCTCCCCCTCTCTCCCCCTCTCTCCCCCTCTCTCCCCCTCTCTCTCCCTCTCCCTCTCTCCCTCTCTCCCTCTCTCTCACACACACACACACTCTGCTATTGTTCTTACTCACAGATTGCTTTTTCTGAATGAAACAGCCCAGGACAAGAGAAGAGCAGTTAGAGCAGCTCCTTTGCTTGCCTATTAATCCTTTATCTTGGCTTCAGCCAGCTGTGGGTCAGGCCTCAAGGCTAAATACCACTTTAAAGGGCTTCTTTCACCAGGATGAGAGGAGGGCATGTGACTGGCTTGTGACTTAATGAACCTCCTTATCATGTACAGCTGTTGGGAGGGAGGTTGGGAAGAAGAATGGAATGAGAGCTGGCTTGAGAAATGTGTTTTCATCTCTAAAATGTTCCTTTTCTTGATATTTATTTTTAGGTAGACTTCCCAATGAAGACAGAAGCCCTGCCGCCCTTGAGCACCCTTTTCTTATGCCATGAATAACATCACTATGCCCACCTCTCCTGGGCCAGCCAACGACTCCCTGGTGGAATACGTTTTGGTGCCATTTTTCCTTATCACCATTGTCGGGGTCATCATGGCTGTGGTGAGTGACTTGAATTACGCCGGAAGAGTTCAACACCCAGAACCTTTTCCAGTGGTAGATGATGTGGAACTAATTTGGCCTTCAAAAAGAACAAATTATTCCAGCAGCAGTTCTCATCAAAGAGCCTCCTGATATTCTTATATACGTTGCTGTTCTGTGCCTTTAAGTAATTTCTGACTTATTGCTGCTCTGGATTTTCTAGAGAAGATTTGTTCAGAAGGGGTTGGCACTCCTCTGAGGTTGACAATGTGTGACTTGCAGTTCACACACACACACACACTCACTGATTCCCTGCACGCTCCAACAAGAATTACCTGATCAATGCCCCCTAGTAGGTTTCATGTCTCAGTGAGGATTAAGGGTAAATCTACACAGTAGAATTAATACAGTTTGCCACCACTTTTAACTGCCATGACTCCATGCTATGGAATCCTGGGATTTGTAGTTTAGTGAGGCACCAGCCCTCTTTGGCAGAGAAGGCTAACGACCTTGTAAAACTACAACTCCCATAAATCCATAGCATTGAGCAGTGGTAGTTCAAGTGGTGTCAAGCTGCATTAATTCTACAGCATAAATGCACCTTTTGCCTGGGATCTTCCTCATTCCAATCTAACCACTGCACCATTCTACTGTAATTGGATGAGTTTTGCCTTTTTCTTCTTTTTTCATTTCTTCAGTATAAAATTGTTCCTCCTTTTTCAAATTATTCTCTTATTTTTGTCAAGCAGATGCTTTCAAACCATCTTTTTACCTTGACATAGAATATAGGAGGTTCCCGTTTGTGTTCAGCCTGGCCATTAATTGAATCTGTTAAGTGCTGTATATATTATGGCAGCTCTGAAAAGGTCATGCACTTGTTTACCTGGAGACATGCAATCGATGCTGGTATGAAAGATCTCCTTCCCTTGCAGCAATGATCTAACTAACTTGCACAATTGCTCTTCAGATTTAATTTCATTTGAAGATTGGCCTTGCCTTTATATAGTGTTAGGAATTGTGGGAGTTGAAGTCCAAAACATCTGGAGGGCCAAAATTTGCCCATGCCTGGTATAGATGCAGTGAGAGGGAAAACTTGGGTTTTTTTTTTTTTTTACTTTAATGCTGCACATAAAAGTGGTCTTCAACTTGCAAGATATGCATATATACTTTGGCATTTGTGATTATATGTATCCCTGGGAAGGCTGAGCTTTTACAAAAATTCAGAGGGAATTTAAAGTATGTCTTGCTCTGAGTGGTGTTTTGGGGCCACGGAGAAACACACTATTTTCCCACATTAAATCTGAACCTTGTGACTGTCGTGACTTTTAAAGAGTCCATAAGCTTTGGAATTAAATCTACCGGTTTTGTGTCAGGTTTCTGCCGTAATTCATAAAAAAGATATTGAAATGGGGTATCTCCAGAAAAAAGCAAATAAAGTATGCCTCGTGGGGTATATGTAGTGCCAAGATTGTTTTACCACTTCATCACACTTTAAATCTGGTTTCTCCCTCCTGCAGAATCCTGGGATTTGTAGTTTAGTAAGGCTGTTAAAGGCTCCTTCTTAAACTACAAACCCCAGAATTCTGCAGGAAGCAGCAACCAGATTTAAAGTGGATTCATTCTCTTGTGTGATGAGGCCCTTACTCCCTCATTTTTAAAAGTAAAAAACATTTGTTTCCGCAGTAAAAAGTACCCAACAATTTTCTGGAGTTATATAGTAGTAGTAGTAGTAGTAGTAGTAGTAGTAGTAATAATAATAATAATAATAATTATTATTATTATTATTATTATTGAAAGGCTCAAATGCTAGAAGGGGTAAACCTCCAAGGCCTCCTGTCAGTTGTCTTCTCTTCAGCAAAGAGATTATGTTATTGTCACAGATCTCCTCCTCCCTGTATCTCTGATGTCATCTGACACCAAAGGGCAGGGTTTCTAATGAGCTTTCCATAATGCCTCCTGTGCTAATATCTTGTGACATTGCCATTGCCCGAAGTGGTCTTGCAAACAGGCAAATAGAGGAGATGCTTATCCTGCTGTTGTCGTTCCTTGTGCTAATTTTCCTTTTCTTTCTGGTTCCATGCTTCATGCCGTCTAAAAAATAATGCAAAGGCAAGAGTTATGCTTCCCTCATAATTATTTTCCTTGCTTTCCTTTCACATTTCAGATGATGTACATCCAGAAGAAGAGGAGGTAAGGGACTGTGCTGGGCAAGTAATTGAATCGTGGGGAGTTTGGGTCACGAGGCTCTTCAGAATGGAACATTTTTCTTGCCTGGAAAAAACCTTGCTTTTTATTCATGATGAGAACAGAGAAAACTTTGTGTGTTGCTATCAGTGGTATGCTTGGGTGGCTTTACATATAAAGCAGTGGTAGGTCAATTTGTGAAATAGTTTATAGCAGAGTAATCCTAATTATTATGGGTGTGTTCCTTCCTTGCCAGTAAACTACTCTAGGAAATGGAAACAGAAGTGGCTTTCAATGAATACTTCGCTAGCAAACTGATCTATCTCTCCATATTTCATATTGGAAAATCAGCAAACGCTTTTTAGTGTAGTGTACAGATTCTTTGGGCACACACAAAAGGAGTAGCTTGTTTTAATGCTACAGTCAGAAATTCCTAACTGTGAGAGCTGTTCAACGGTGGAACTCTCTGCCCCAGGCTGTGGTGGAGGCTTCTTCTTTGGAGGCTTTAAACAGAGGCTGATTGGCCACCTATCAGGGGTGCTTTGAATGCAATTTTCCTGCTTCTTCGCATAATGGGGTTGGACTAGATGGCCCACAAGGTCTCTTCCAACTCTATGAGTATGATTCTATGAAATGTTTTTGGCCTATACATGTTTTTGCAAAATGAGGGTGAATCTAGTTCAGTCTAGTGGCTAGCTGTTCCTCTGGGCACCTGTATTGAGGATCAGTGTGGTCAAATGGAAATACCTGCTACAGCTACCCCCACTTTTGTTTCTAAGCTTAAAATGATTAATAACTATGGTACAGTGAGCTAGTGTACCAATAAATATATTTTTTAGCTAGTAACATTTGTGGATTTAACTGCAACAGGGCTGATCTGGCTCTGTTTACAGAGACCATTGTGGTTTAGTGCCCAGTGCCAGGTGTGGGCTTTCCTCTTCCGCAAAGAGGATGTCTTGCTGCAGTACCTTCCAGTTGGCAAAATATAGGACCTTTAAAATACCCAAAATACAATTGTAGAGCTTTGCCTGTCAATCCCCTGGCTACTCTTTCACACCAGGAGCACAGGGTGGTACAGGATATTTCTGTATGGAATGTTATTTAAAGTATATACGCATCTAAAATGGTACCTTTAAAGTGATAAATTTGAAAATATTTGTATACAGAAAATATTAACTCTTGCGACTTCACCTTGAAATCAATGTGTTGGTTCAGATCGGCCAAGGGTTTAGAAATAATGACTTTGGAGTGTTCGCCCAAGCCACCGATTCCTCTAAAGCTTCTGTATACACCATGGGGAGCTTTAAAAAGTGGGGAAAGGACAATCGCTTCCTCTGCAGTCCTCCTGGAGAAATAGATTTATCCAGCCTAGTTTCCTCAAACAACCAAAAACACTGAGGAAAATCAAGAACTTTCAAGTAAAAGTAACTTCCACTTGTGATATCATTTCAGTCAAAATGTATTGTGTGACCCCCTGCAGGAGTGCCAGAGTTGATCACTCTTGCTTTATAGAAGCAGATTCCAACCAGAGGACTGTAATCTTAAGTTGTAATTTGACAGGGGCCGTGTATTAAAATGATACTTCATCTGACAATTTCTCTTCTCAGGTACGACCGACTGCGTCACCATTTGCTGCCAATGTACAACTATGATCCTGCAGAAGAGCTGCATGAAGCTGAACAGGAGCTCCTAGTAGAGCCGGAGGACACGAAAGTAAGTGTCATTCTGGAGACCAAGGCAAAACAGTACTTCAGTGTGAAAAAACACTTTGTGTGTGTTTTGCTTTGTGGTCTTGTGACTGGGATGGAGACAGTTGATTGAACAAAAGAAAAGATTATGGATCTAAGCACTAGGTTTTCAAGCAATTCCTTTAGTTAGTTTGTTTACTTCAGCACAGATCAAACGACAACTTCTAGATTTCCCCTCCCAGTTCTCTCAGTTTGGTAGTTCCTGCTGTTTTGTGCCTAAGGGATATAGTCTAGGCTGTGGGAATTGCCTCAAACCCACACTGAGTTGTTAGCATTTTTATCCCTGCTGGAAACAGAGAGCTAAATAATAGAGTATCTGATTAACATGAACTCCATCTTAGTTTAGTGCTATATTTGGTGGATATAGGGATTCAAAGCTTAGGTGGAAAGACGTCTAGGCCACAGGTAGCCAACCATTTTGTGTCAAGGGTTGCAGTCCCTGAGAATTAATCAGCTGGGAGCTGCACCGTCATTGTGGTAATATCTTTCCCCTCGTTGCCTGGATTGCAGGCTGTTAACTTACGTGGTAGATCAGGCGAGGAGATTCTTTTAACCCAAGGACTGAATTCTCTTTCAGAGATCTCACAAGCTGCATTCCAGTCATGGATGAGGCCAAGGGCTAAAGGGTTGGACCAAAAATGCCAGCATATTTTAGTTTTACAGCTCTTCATTCACCAGCATGAAAACTTTAGGAGAAGCACTACAAAAGCAAGACAGCAATCAGACAATGGTGTCATTAGGAAAAGGATGTGGCTAGTATGGGAACCTGGAAGTCTGGTTCAGGGGTTTCAGCCCTAGGGCCTCAGGATACTCCTCTTGCATAACTGTTGAGAGGTAGGAGTCAGCTTCTGTGTACTTGCATATGTTGCTGTTCACAAAGCTTCCCACCTCAGAAGGTTTTGTGGCTTTCTACATCCAAGTAGTGGAGATATTTTGTTTTCTGGCATTTCTAGTGTACTGCAAAAACTCTGAATAAAGGAGGGATCAATTTCTGGAAGTATGAGAACCGCTGTGTCACAAAGCAATTTAAACAAAGCCATAGCTAGTCAAGTATTATTTCTATAATGTGGATAAGCACTAAATTATAATGTGAAACTATGAATGATGAACTCAGATTGGCTAGACAATGTTACTAGAAATCGGTTTTAACAGGATGATACCAGAGTTTACACGTTTTATTGGCTTTTATATATGTTTTTATATTGTTGTGATGATTGTTTTTATCTGCTCTAATTGTTCTTTCATGAATGTGTGGCATTAAATTGTGCCAGTTGTAACCCGCCTTAAGTCACCGTATGGCTGAGAAAGGTGGGCTATAAATATCGCAAATAAATAAATAAATTTTGCTGAAGGTTGAGTCATTGACTTCAAATAATATGCAGTGTATTCGTAAAGAAATATACATCTCATTTACATTATGCATAGTCTTTGTTTATGCTGCATTTGCGAATGTTGAATGACCCCTTTCACCATTATGCAATATAGACATCAGTGTGTTCATAGAAGCAGGCAAACACTTCAAGTCTACTACATCTGGACAAACTCTTAGGTACTCACTCATGGATATCTAAAAAATTGATTCTGGACTTTAGATATTTGAATCATTTACACCACTGAATAAAACACTGGCCCTTAAACACATTTAAGATTGGGCATCCTTTTAGTTAGTTACAATGTCATAGTTAGACATATAACCTCTCAACTGTTTCCTGTGGACATTTATGATCATAGTGTCATTGTCACGATGAGAAGTGGTATAGAAACCCACCTTGAAATCCAGCCAGTTACACCAAGGGACAGAGTTCTTTGCCACTGGAAAGTGGAATAGTCAAAGAAAATGTTTCTATCCCTCTCCTGCAAGTAATTAGTAGTGCTATGAGAAGTTGCAACAAAACCCTTTAGGACGGTGCTTTCCTAACATTTCGCATTGGTGGGGCATCTTTTTAGATATGCATCTTTTCGCAACACAACACACTAATTAAATTTTCCAAGCAAACCAGAGGTTAGATCAACCCCTTATAAGAGATTTGGAAACTTACATAAATTGTAATAACAAAATGTATTGGGACACAACATATTTCATCAAAACCTTTCATTTCAAATATATGATTTATTGCTTATTTCACATAAACTCAGAGGTTTTCCATTATGTTTGTGTGACACAACTACACACTGCAGCTGACATGTGTCGCAACAAAGTTTGGAAAATGTATTGTCGAAGGCTTTCATGGCCGGAATCACTCAGTTCTTGTGGGTTTTTTCGGGCTATATGGCCATGTTCTAGAGGCATTTCTCCTGACGTTTCGCCTGCATCTATGGCAAGCTTCCTCAGACCTCACCTCTGAGGAAGCTTGCCATAGATGCAGGTGAAACGTCAGGAGAAATGCCTCTAGAACATGGCCATATAGCCCGAAAAAACCCACAAGAACTGAGAAAGTTTGGAAAGTTCTGCTTAAGCCCCAGGGGTCAGCTTCTGCTTGGTGCAACATCTCTTGCTGGCAAGAGGGAGCACCCCACTTCCCAGTTTCACCAGGTGGCTTTGGGGCAGGGGGGGGGGTCTTATCAGAAGACAGATCATAGCTTCAACATTGTGGCTACAAGTCTTATGCAGAATCTCAGCCAAAGTGGTTTACGTTATTATTTCATAACATGTTTAATTCCTAAACATTTGTACTCCCCACATGGCTACACTGTATTGGCTTTGATAGCTGATACCATTCTGGAAAATAGCTTTTTAAATCCTTGCATGTTAATGTTTATATGTGATTTATTTAACTGTATTGTTATTTTTTGTTTATTGCTTTCTTGTTTATTGATGTGTTGTTGAGCTTGGCCTCATGTAAGCTGCTCCGAGTCCCTTGGGGAGATGGAGGCGGGGTATAAATAAATTATTATTATTATTATTATTATTATTATTATTATTATTATTATTATTATTGGCCGCAATATGAGAGGATGCAAGACACTCGACAACTTCCCAGTGAAGTTCTAATAACATCCAAAATAATACTAGGAATTCTATTTCTATTTGCTTGAATATTTTCTAATAGAAACCATGCTGTGTTGAGTTCAATTTGTATCCATCAGTTCATGGCATTGATGTTCAGCTGATACTTTATGGAGAACCAGATCTTCTAGTATACTGTGTTACTTTGTGATGACCTTTGTGTTGATTCGCAACTCAGTCCAGTTTGCTTTTTCTGTGCCTGGCTTGATAAAGGAAATTTCCCTTAATTAGACTTTAAAGAGTAGTAAAGAACAAACTACCTTAAACAGGAAGCTTTATTATGCCCAGTAATAAATTTAATTTGTTTCTTAGTTGTGAAAACAGTTGGTTTTCTGAGCCTTGTGCTGACTGTTATAGTAAATGGTGGAAGCAATGAATACCTCCTTTGGCCGCTGCTTCTAGAGGCTGCTAACCACTTTACTTTTTCTGGTAGGAAAAGACTTTTCTGTTTAAGTTGTTTATTTGGCAGTATACTAGTTGCTGGAAAGAGTCTTGTTGTGACCTATCTGGATTCACAATTTTGGGAGAAAGTTGTGTTGTGAAGATCAACTTTTAAATAAATCATCTGTTGCATGTTACAGGTGATGAGAACCTGGGGAGGATACCAGCCCTGCCGTGGTTCATTTATGGACGTGAAAGCTTGATGATGCTTCGCTCGGACTGACCAAGGGTGTATATGGATGACCTCGTCACCCTGGCATGTATGCAATCTTGAAACACGCCCAAACCACATTAACTTTGAACCTGCTGCCTTTCCACTTCAATATTGTCTTTATTTTTTTGCCTTGACTCCCAGCAAGAGGTGAGTCCATTTAGGCTGTACTGCTAACACAGGTCCTTTTGAGTTCCTGGTATTCAGAGTCAAAGGCATGCACATCTGGATCTAGAAAAATTACTTGACCTGATGACATTCCTTACTTCTAGGCATTCTGGTTTATAATTGATGTTGGGGGAGATGCAGGAGCTTCTTGAACTTCAGGTGAAGGTAGCTCTTGTTCTGTGAGCTACCATCCACAAATTTATCAGCTTTCTAAAAGCTCCAGCTGACCTCTTCTTTTGTAAGCAGCAAAAGCTGCAGCTGCTATGCCATTCCAGTGCATTTGCTAGCTGCCTCCCTGTCCTAACATACCTATGCATATAAATGGGTCTGTCACTTAGGTCTTGGGTTCCTGTGACGTCTCCCTTGATGGATGCAGAGAAAGTGAATAAAATGGCAAAGCCTGTGTAAGCAAGAAAACTGGGTATGTGTGGCTATAATGTAACATAATTTACTTTGAAATATGTGTAATGAGTACATGCTGATCTGTGTGGCTATTATTTGATGGATATGCTGGGAGGATGGTTTTTCTGGGAAGGTCATGCAAAGGACATCTGGTGAAAGGGGCCTTAATGTATTGTTGAAAAATTATTTGTTCCTTCAGGAAAGTTTTGAGTTCATCAGGGTGGTTCTTTCTATGAGGGTTTTGTATTTGGGAGCTCATATATTTTGTAAATAAATCCCGTCCTGAACTGGAATATCTCTGTGAAAACTTCACTGTAATACGTTTCTTGGGTGAGTATACAATATTACTGCTGTCCCCACTACGGCTGACTGAAGAACTGTTGGTGCAGAGACAATACTTTGCTGAAGTACAAAACCCCTTACTGCCTATTACTGCTGACCATAACCTATCAACAAGACTAGTGAGCTTGAGCAAAACCTGTATTAGGAATATTGATTTGGCCTTCTTGTTCCAACAAAGTGCTTCAGTTTCTAACAAAGTCTGATTTTCCTCACATATGACATTATGCTATGCTGCTGTTGGACATTCATCTGATACCTAGTGATGCTTTTTAGGTTATGGGTGATTCGGCAGTCAAGGAAAACACAGTCTGGGCAAGGAAATAAAGTTTATTTATTTATTTATATCATTTATATTCTGCCCTTCTCATCCAAAGGGGACTCAGGGCAGATCACAGAACACATACAAGGAAAACATTCAATGCCATTAAATAGACAGGACGGACAAGAAATAGAAGTATATGCCAACGTTTTCCCCAACTTCAACGTCGTGGAGGTTGTGCTTGATTCCGGCCACAGGGGGGTGCTGTCACTCCATCCTCTTATGACGAAGAACCCTTGATCACAGACTTCCTCCTTTCTTTGATTGCCAGCATTTTCTGGTATTTCCTTTTTACGGTGCCATAAAATACCTCCCCGCTTAAGCATTGCCTAATTTCCTCTACTCACAGCTCACAACTGTTTTCCAACTGTTTAGGTGGATAGTGAGCTGTGCTGAAGGTCGGGTACTCACCTGACCTGGGCTTCAAACTGGCCACCTTTTGATTGGTGTGATCTATTACTGCTGGTAATTAACCAGCAGTGCTAAAACCTAAATTAAAGTTACTTTAATTCATCTACAACAAATAGTTGAATGGGGCACGTCCTATAATGTATTGTTCCAGCAATTATTTCCATTTCATTGCTGAACATATACATAATCATTTTGTTAAGCCAGACTAGGGCAAATGGGTAGTCCTAATTTAACAAGAGGAAGCGTAACTCACTACCAGGACCTTGTGGTTTTCTACTCTTGAGTTGTAATTTTTGAGCTAGATCGGGGTGAGAATTATGCAACCCTACAATTGTTGTTAAGACTGTAGTAGCTCCTGTTAACTTGCTAGTTCTTCATATCCTCCTGATGCTTTGGCCTGCAGGTGCAGGCCAAAACATCCTTACCCAACATGGCCAAGGATGAGAATTGCAGTTGAACATCAGATGATCATATCCCTTCATTAAAAGCAGTAAAACCAGATTTCCGATGCATTGCTGTTCAACCTTCAGCATATGAACAGTAGCAATTCCATGGAGAGTATGTGGGCACTGACCAAAGGAAATCATTCACTACTTGAGAGTAATAGCTTCAAAGTGGGAATTACATATACAACCACACACGCACCCAACATTTCTGCAAGTCTAAGCTATGACCCATATTCATTTAGGAACCATACTGACACAATCATTTCTATCTTAAACTTTAAATATGCATGCCAAATACATTGGGTTTTGTGTGTGTTAACAACAGGGCCTTCTTTAAAAAAAATCAACTCCTTTTAGATATACATTGAAGCGGTTCACAGACAGATTTTTCCTTTTTTTCCAGCCAACTACTTTCTGTTCAAACTAGGAGGAAAAATCAGTTCTCTGGATCTGGGAAGCTCAGAGCTTACAGTATTAATGCCGGTTTAACACGTGACAGGCACTTCGACACTGTGTGTTCTGGAAGTGTAATGATTCTTAGATTGGAAATACAGTAGGCATTCGGAATGCAATTCCCATCTATGTTAGCCACGCAGGCAGTGGTGAGGGATCATGGGAATTAAATAGATGAAACTATATCCCTTAACAACAGTTCAGACTTAGCACTGAATATCTGCCAAAAGAACCCTTAGTTGTTGTGCCACTACAGGCCAGTGCTGACACAACAAAGAATCTTTGCCATAACATTTTCCTGCACACAATTGTACAGTTTGTTTTCAAAAGGTACCAAATCCATCTGAATTTTTTTTTACAGGAATTGGAAAATAAATGCTGAGGATATGCATTCTTTTGCTATAAAATGCAATTTTCCAAACTCCTCAAATTCTTATTTACCCCAAGATGCACCTATTAAAGCAAAAGGCAGTCCAACTATGTTATGAGAGTAAGGAAAAGTTGCAAGTTGGGTGGAATAACAAATACAATTCTTCTCTCTGGAGGGACTTTGGTGTAATCAGGTCTCTTCTGTGTTTCGAGTATTATCTGATGAGAGCTGTGGTAACCACGGTCCCAGGTCCTCTTTGAAACAAAATGCAGAAGGAAGATCATAAAACATGAACTAAATATTTTATTTGAGTAAAGTAATCTGCAGGTAGAAGATCAAGAAACCTTTAGCAATGGGATCAGATTCACACCATACTCTACAAACCTATCCCCACATCCCCCCCCCCCCCCATCTCCTTTTGCATAGTTGTTTTGTAGGTTATATTAGCACAAAACTAACAACTGTTTCAGATTCATGTTTCAGTGAGCAACGAAGATCAAACAGGATAGTGAAAGGGCCATCCAGCTCTTTAACAATTTTAAGATACAGGAATAAAACTGTCTTCCTGGCAGCTTGCCTAATAGAAACACTGCAATTAAAAGGAAAGATAGCTTGTTAAGGGAAAACAATAAAGTTAGTGTTGTAGGCCCCCACTTTCACGGGTGTTAAGGGCACAGGATTCCCATGAAAGTGGGAAAAACACAAATTAAAATAAGCATTTTTTTTCTTGATTGATTACCTCTCAAGGAATCTTCAGGTCCTCTAATGAGACTCTCTGGTCATCATCTGGAAGAGGTTGACCAGAACTGTGGTAAAAGACCTAAAGATTTCCCAGAGAGGCATTCCTTTCAGGAATCTCTAGGATCTCCATCAGCTGGTCAACCGCTGGCAAAAGTTAACCATGGAGTTGCACTAGAGGAACTGAGGTTTCGAGAGAGATGCTACTTTTGGGGTTCTCTAGGTTCTCCAGTACAACTTTGGTTGATTTCTGGCAAAAGTTAGCCATAGATTCACACCTGAGGACTTAAAGACCATATTAAACAAAACCACAAATTTTTAAATCTGCAGATTTGAAGAAATTTGTTGAAGCATCGTGCAAATTTTGCTCTTATTTTTAAAAGATGGCAGTTTTTGCATCAGGACAAAATACAAAATCTCTACCAAGTATAAATTATAAAGCAGTCTGAATTTATCTTAAGAGGAGGTATTATTGGACAGAATGCTTCTAGATTGCAATGATGTTTTATTTGAGGTTATATGTACTCAGCAGCTTCTCTTTGCAATTGTAGTACAAACAACAAAGTGTTTAATGTCCAATTGCAACTCAGTGATTGTGCTGGGTGCTCCTGTTGATTTACCAATACAAGAACTGATGTGTTTGCCACCATGGTTCGTAGCTTTCGAACACTGTTGATCATGTCTGAACACTTACCAAACCCTCTTCCTGGAAATACTCTTTAAAATGTGGCCACAACTAAAAGTCAAAGAAATCCCAATAGTCTGTCACTCTTTCAAAAAGAAAATAAAGGTGCTGTGAAGATGGGACTTAAAAGAAGGTCCTGTTTTCATAAGTGATGTATAATTACCACGTATGTGAGTACCATTGCAGGAACTCCTTATTCTGTATATGTGATCAGCTGATTCCTGGAAATGATGCCAGTCTTCAAAGAACCCTCCCCAGTCACTCATCAGTCCAACAAATAGAAGCTTTTATCCCTTTTTATTAGCACAAGTTTTAAAAGTCAACTCAAACTAACTTATCTATAGTGAAAAATATCAGTTCCAGAGACAGAAACCAGACAGAACCTGTTGGAATAATAAAAACTTTGTAACCAGTACAGCAGCAGCAACAAACAGCAGCAACTCCATGTTTTAAGAGAATGAAACTTAAATTACCCAGAGGTAGTTCTGAATGAAGGAAAAAGGGGGGGGGGGGAACCTTGAAAGACAACATGTTTTGAAAAGACAACTGTAGCGAAAACGCTCTGTGCTATTCCCAATGCAGAAAAATCACCAAACCCAAAGAGGGACTGTGGAGATGGACTGGAATTGTCATCCTGCTTTCTGCAGGCCTTGGAAAGGTCTGGTCTAATTTCAAAGGAGATCCAACAGTCCTTTTTGTGCTGAGCACTGAGGGAAAGAACTTTTAGTTGCAGGTTCCCACCTGTAAATTGCTCCGAATTGGACATTGGCAACTGGGATTACAACTGGAGGAACATTTGTGTGGTCAGTGAGAAAAAGGAAAGCACCCTCATTGTCTACAGCAGGAATGCATAGCCCTACTGCTTGGAGAGCCCTGAACCACAGTAAATGGAGTGTAAAAAGCAATGTATTATCCTTTGAAATCAGCATCCAATCAAACAGCTTACAATAGGCACATTTAATATCTTCCTTCTTGATGTTGTAGCTTTTCCCGCTATCCTTATTTTACAGAAAAAGAATTCCTCCCAATTGTCCTCAATAGCCTAACTTTCTGCCAGTGCCAAATATCACTTTGGAAGGTGGTACAGTCTCTCTACAGAGGTATGGTTTGGCAAAGGTTGGGGGGGAAGCAGGCTTTCCACTCTTTTCAACATGAATAAGTGGTTGCTATAAAGATATATTTATATATACCCCTTTCTCTACAAGGAGCATACCAAAGAGTGAATGAGAGAGAGAGAGACCAAAAACCAGATAGAATCTAGAACTACATGAAGTGGTAGGCTAAAATGTTAACCCTGTCAAATGAGAACGGGAAACAAAATACTTGGTTCTCCCATTGAACATTACACGTCAATAGTGATGGCTGATTTGTTTTACACTGTACTCCAGTGTTGCTGTTTAGACTGCGAGAACATTCGGCAGGTGTGGGTCAGGAAAAGGATGAGGATGCTTTGTTCCTTCCTCAGTCCCAGAACTTGACAAGAAATAGGAAAACTGAACTGTGAGGTAGAATCAGTTGGCTCTTTTCACTGCTCCTCTTCTGATGACTCCTGGGAAATGTTGACTTCTTCTTCATCCTTTTTCTGTATGGGGAGAGTAATGGTTGATTTGAGAAGATATCAGATGGAAGACAAAAAAAGTCAAATTCATCCTGCAAACTGTCACTACCAGAGCACTACCAAAAAGAAGTCTAGAAATGAGAGTAACAGCTGATCCCTCAGATACAGTTATGCCTACTCCTTGCAACAGATTTATACTTGGGTACATCATACGTTCTCAAATATATTGTAATAGCCACTAAAGCTACTGCCTATTATATTGCTGTCACAGCAAACGAGATATATATGCTGGTTTTCGTATCACAAAATCACAAGTTGAACACTTCCCAAGCGTCTAGGACTGTGTACTGTATTTTTGAATGATGCGCGCAGATCCAAGTAAGGTGGCCTTTTGCAGTTGACAGATCGTGATTTTGTCAATGTTTATTATTTCCAAATGCTGGCTGAAGTCTTTTGGCATGGGACCATCTGTACTGGTTTATGCCAGAGCCTTTGCATTGTCTACTACTACTACTAATACTACTACCACTATTGTCTTTATTTATACCCTGCCTTTCTCCCTGTGGGGACGCAGGGTGGCTAATACTCCACATTAGGTAAAGATTTTCCGCTGACATTAAGACCAGTCGTGTCCGACTCTGGGGGTTGATGCTCATCTCCATTTCTAAGCCGGAGCCGATGTTGTCCGTAGACAACTCCAAAGTCATGTGGCCAGCATGACTGCATGGAGTGCCATTATCTTCCCGTTGGAGCGGTACCTATTGATCTACTCACATTTGCATGCTTTCGAACTGCTAGACTGGTAGAAGCTGGGACTAACGGCGGGAGCTCAACCAACTCCCTGAATTTGAACCTGCGACCTTTCAGTCAGCAAGTTCAACAGCTCAGTGGTTTAACCCACTGCGCCACTGGGGGCTCCAGATATTCCACACTAGACACGTTTAAAAGGTGCAGTACAAAGTTAAAAAGCAATTAAATAGTTAACAGTGTGGTAAAAACAAAATTAAAATACACTAAGTACACTAAAATGGCCTTTAAAACGTGTCCTTTGTTGGAAGAGCCTATTGTGATATTAATCAGATATTACAGGGCCAAACATGGCTGGGAGTTAGAGGAAATGCACCAATTCCCACATCAAAATAAAATCCTATGATATTATATGCCTACTCCATTTTATATTTACTTTCAATGAAACTAAGGGAAGTCTTCTTTTTCAGGAATGTTGTTCAAATAAGTATATTTTATGTTCTATCAACTTAAGTAGCCCAATGACCCACAAGATGCTATTAAAAAGTCTTCTGCGACCACTTTTGTACAGTAAACTTGTTATTACTAATCAATGTAAATATGTCATAACAGAGGAGTCAGAATCAAAGGTACAGACTCGATAACATAATGAATCGTAGTTCAAACAATGTCCTAAGACCATCCTCAACGGGTGGCCTCTGATTCTTTTTCCTTTGTGAAGTTTTTAAGTGGAACCATGACAAATATTCAGTTGTTTGCTCCTTTAGACTTTTCTGATCTTATTTCCAAATCATTCTGCAGCTTCTTCCTAGAAAAAAAACCTGCAGTTCCTATAGTTCCAGCACACTGAAATTGGATAGAAACTGGCAAATCTCCATTGTGATAGATAATGCAATTGGGTTTTGGCCAAAAAGCAAGGGCAAGTCTTGTCCCTCTCTTAAAGCTACACTAAAGACAAAACATTGACCAACGCAACCTGATCAGAAAGTATGTTCTGTTCAACACCTGATAAGACATAAATAGTTTCAAAATATGCAGGCAACATAAGGAGTGGGACAAGGAAGGTCAGACTAGTAAAGCAACTGCTACAAACTTGTAAATAATCAATTCTATGAAAGAATAACCTGTGAATGTGGGAAGCCAACTGAAGTGTTTTGGTTGTCATATACTCAAGATGCCACAAGAGGGACACCAGCATTAAGAAATACATCTAATCCAAAACATAAGCTCTGCTTCCCTCCCTGCAATTCCCATCACTTTGCCCTTCTCAAAAAGTAGAACCTCCTACCACCAGCCACATCCTCTCAAGCCTAAATAGCCATTGTTTGTGTACGAGGAGGAACATATTCCTTCAAGGAGGTCGCCTCTGCCTTGAAGAAAAACAAATGCTGTCAGAACCAGATGAGTCAGGGCTGAGTGTGCCTGTGAGTCAGCAACCTTCACTTCCTTGTGTTTCATTCATAAAAATATACATTTAAGCCACTGAGGAATGTGCCTGCCAAGTTTGTACAGCGCGTTCCAAGGCACAAGACTTGATTTAGCCAAGGAAGGAAATGACTGGTGCTACTTCCTTCTGCTCAATGGACAGAGACGGCAACTAAATCAAACGACTAGTTTAACCCTGCTCACAAAAAAATGGCAAGCTGCTGTGACATTGATTGGAACGGCTGAACGCAGATATCAGGCACTTGTACTTGAAACAGAGGTTTAGTTCTAAGCATGTTCAGAGTTGTAGTCACTGGAAATAACCACACAATACTAGCAATTAAATTCCTGCATGTAAGGCAAGTTTACATTAGTAAGAGTTCTGCCACACAGGAATGTGTTCCTTGGTCTACTGTGGGGTGTGTGTATGCGTCTCTGTGTGGCCCAGGGGAACAAGTAGCCCTTAAGAGCCCTTTTGTGAGCCATATGTTTATAAAAAAACGCAAGTATGGATTGTTGATGTTGCAATCCCAGGTGACAGCAGGATTGAAGAGAAACAACTGGAAAAGCTGACAAGATATGAGGATTTAAAGATCGAACTGCAAAGACTCTGGCACAAACCAGTAAAGGGGGTCCCAGTAGTGATCGGCACACTGGGTGCATTGCCTAAAGACCTTGGCCTGCACTTAAACACAATCGGTGCTGACAAAATTACCATCTGCCAGCTGCAAAAGGCCACCCTAATCGGATCTGGACACACTATTCACCAATACATCACACAGTCCTAGAAGCACTTGGGAAGTGTCCGACGTGTGATCCAATACAACAGCCAGCAGAGTGATCTTGTTTGCTGTGTACTAATCTTGTTATGTTTCAAACAACAACAACAACAACTTTATTTTTGTACTCCGCCTCTGCCTCCCCGAAGGGATTTGGGGAAGCTTACATATGGCACAATGTGCCCAAAACAACACATAAAATAAACACATAATGCAATAAATGGTCAAACCAATAGCATATAAAAACAGTAATTTAAGCTGTTTATTCCACATACCCCACATTTTGGGTGGCTGAATAAAAAATAATCCTAAAAAGACCACTCTTCTCTTAATTATTATACCAGGAGCAGCAGTCTGTCAATGAACTCCCTACTACCCCTCAAACCCTGAAAATCAAAACGAGAAGCTCCCCCCGAACTGTGATCTGTCTTGTAACTCTGTAAACTGGCTGTAATTTTGCAAACTGGCAGGAGAAAGCATGAAAATCAGCCTCTGTGCATGCTGTAGTCACTCACTCCTGTTCTACTAGTGTCTCACCTCCAGCCTCACCAAAGCTAGTTCTGTTATTCTCCAGTCTTCTAAGCAGGGCCTGAAAGAAGGAACTACAGCATTATCTGCAAATGTGAGCTCATCTGGGCCCTTTTAGCCATTCTAGCCAAGTGTCAACTTTAGACAGAAAGAAAGTCCACCCAGCCAGTGATCACGAGAAGGCAGTTAGGCTCACTAAAACACCCTGCAACATTGATAAAAGAAGAATGCTGCAAGACGGTATGGTGATAGCAGAAGAATCCGAGACTTATCTTCCTGTTGCCCAAAATCTTTTGTGAGAAATTAAAGGGCAACTATGTTTTCTTACTTTGTGTTGTTCTATGTCAGTGTTGCAAGCAGGAAACAAACAGAAGAGAACAAAAGAAAAACAAATTCTGAGCTGCAAAATCTGGTTCCATGTTCTGGAAGGCTGCCGTTGCCTATTAGAAACCCTTCCAGTTAGTCGCGTCTGGCAGGATTGCCCTACATTCAGTTCATACTTGGGTGGCCGTGGACAGATTTGTACTGTGAGTGCCATCAGCGTCTTCTAAAACTCTGGGCACAATGGAGAAAGCAGCCAAGTTTCATCTTCATACAAAACTGCCCACCAACCCACCCAAATAACTATAAGAAAAACACTGCAATCAATCCCCATCCCCTAACAGGAGTGCTACTGTCCAGTGGCCCACACACAACTAGGAACTGAATTTGGGTCATTTAGATGCCTAAAGAATGGAAAAGAGGAGGGGGAACATTATTTCTCTTCCATAAACTACACTAGTGTAGGACCCATGTTTAGGGTCATCTTATAACTCAGCGTTTCTCAACCTGGGGGCCAGGACTCCCGGGGGGGGGGGGGGTTGCAAGTGGGTATCAGACGGGTCGCCAAAGACCATCAGAAAACACAGTATTTCCTGTTGGCCATGGGGGTTCTGTGTGGGAAGTTTGGCCTTTGTTTGTAGGTGAACTATAAATCCCAGCAACTACAAATCCCAAATGTCAAGGTCTATTTCCCTCAAACTCCACCAGTGTTCATATTTGGGCATACTGAGTATTTGTGCCAAGTTTAGTCCCGATCTATCATTGTTTGAGTCTCTGGATGTAGGTGAACTACAACTTCAAAACTCAAGGTCAATGCCCACCAAACCCTTTCAGTATTTTCTGTTTGTCATGGAAGTTCTGTGTGCCAAGTTTGGTTTGATTCAATCGTTGGATGTTAAGGATGCTTTTTGATTGTAGGTGAACTATAAATCCCAGCAACTACAACTCCCCCTCAACCTAACCAGTATTAAAATTTGGACGTATCGGGTATTTGTGTCAAATTTGATCCAGTGAATGAAAATACATCCTGCATATCAGATATCTACATTAAAATTTAAAACAGTAGCAAAATCACTGTTGTTAAGTAGCAATGAAAATAATGTTATGGTTGGGGGTCACCACAACATGAGGAACTGTATTAAGGGGTCGCAGCATTAGGAAGGTTGAGAACCACTGTTCTAACTCAAATCGGGCCAACTATATTGTTATATAGCAATGGAGCTA